TCAGTGATGGTAGGAGGCGAGGGCAGGGGAGGAGGCTGGGCCTCAGGGCGGCAGCAGGCCCCACACCCCTCCCCCAGTGGCGCGTCAGCAGCCCTAGGAAGAGGACAGCGTGCTGCGGGGAAGAGGCATTGCATAGACTCTGAAAGACGCCTGAAGCTAGACAGAGACTGGAGACCAGCTAAGCCACCTATGTTTAAGATACTTTTTGGTGAGAGAAGTTCCTGGCACAATCTTGAGCTGAGCTGGCAGAGAGTGACAGAGTGATTTTTCTTTGTTTGTCTTAGAGGAAATGGGCTTTAAGGCAGAAACTTGCCATCATTATTTCAAATTAAATGATTGTTACAAATATTTAAGTAGCTATTTTTGGTTTTTTCCCTTTTACCTTTATTATGATTGTCAAATAAAAGATTCTTTTCCTTTCTACCAAACTCCATCTTTGGACAGTTTCCTGGTAGGCAGCAAGCAGTAGGTCCTCTATGTGTATGAACCCACTTTACTGGTTGGGTTTGGTAGCAAAACTACAGAACAACTATCATTCAGAACCAGCAAAGCCCCGTGCAACTGTTTAACACTGACAGATCACCTCCTGCCCACTCGGGATGATTTGCAAGAAACTCCTTGAGTAACTCCAGCTTCTTCTGGTTCACTAAGAGTTCCTACTTAAAAGGTGACAATGGCAAATGCTGTATAAGAAATGCAAAGTCAACACCCTTTGTAACTGGAGCAGCACCTTTGCCTTTGTTACTGCAGCCTGACAAGTCTAATTATATGGCTCATTCTTGCTCACACTGGCCTGCACCCCGGCCAAGGTCAAAATCAACAACATTTACATTGACAGTAGATCTGCTTTTGGAGTAACTCATGATTTTGGAATGTTGCAGAAGCAACATGACTTCCTTACTTTCAGTGCACATAGAATTAAAATTGACCAGCATGTCCTGGAATTACTGGAAGCCATACTTTCGCTTGCTACTTTAGTTATCATTAAGTTCCCAGGGTATTCTAAACTCAACCCTCTAGAAGTTAAGGGAAATCACCTTGCTGACACTTCTGGAGGAAACGCTGCTTTTAAAGGAACCAACAAGAGTCAAATAGATATTTCCCCAAACGATAACTTAGAAAAGCTGGCTAGAAAAGCCCAACTATTGGCCTCATAAAAGGAAAAACAAGATTGGAAATCCAGCCATTGTTAACTTGATAAAAAGAGAAAGCTCTGTTTCAAATCAAGTAACAATCCAGTCCTACGAGAGACTCTAAAATACCCACTTCTAACTACTGTGCTTGCATTAAACCATTGGTCCACTAACAAAATGATAGCATTCATGAATCAGTATTGGTGGGGAATATTAATAAGGCCCCAGAAAGCATCTATCTCACTTGTCTCACTTTTTCAAAGTACAACCCAGGGAAGCTGGTTTGCACTGCTCCCAGACATCTTAAATGACCAAATGGACCATTCGAGGTTTGGCAAATGGGTTTCATACAGCTTCCCCATCTCCTGGATATAAATGTGTCTTAGTCTCAGGGTCTGTAGGTGATCTTACTGGATTGAGGCTTTCTCTGTAGACAGGCAGTACTGCTTCTTCTGTGGCTGAAGTCCTTTTCGAAAAGATGATCCCTACCTGGGGAACCACTTTGAACTCCATAGTGATAGGAGAATCCATTTAATGGGTCAGATGCTTTGACAAGCGTTTGTTTTTTGGCTAGTTTTATATAACACTTTGCACTTAACCACCCTCATTCCTCAAGGTAACTGAACACACGAACAACATTGCTAAGACTCAACTAGCAAAATTTGCAGAGACCTTCCAAATATTTGGTCAAAAGCATTGTCAATGGTCCTTCTAAATCACAGATCCACCACTTTGGAATCACAAACTCTCACCCATTGAAATAGTCCCAGAACTCTCAGTGTACCTGGCCTCTGCCTCTCTTGATCCACAGCCGATAAAAGAAGACATAATTCAATATTATGAAAGTCTAATGGCTTCTATAAATATTAACCATGTTCTGACACAACAGCCCTTTCACAGTGTGCTCTAGGCAGACGAAGACCTTAAGAAACACTCTGCAACCTGGAGATTTTATCTATTGGAAAAGACACCTCCAGAAAGACTGCCTTCAACCTCACTGGAAAGACCCCTATGAGGAAGTGGTAGCCAACCCTTGTGCCAACAGACTCCAGGGAATAGACTCCTCTTCATGTGACATAGCTAAAGAAAGCACTTTACCCTGATGGGACCTGCACACCATCTAGTGACCTGAAGGTGAAGATTTCCTGAAACTGAAAATAGACAGCACCTGATCAGACAGCTGTCACAAGATATTCAGACCAGGTCAGTTAGAAGACTTAAAATTCACAGAAACCTCTCTTTCATCAAGACTATTAACTGACTCTGTACCCTTACCAAATTTCTAAGTTTCTGAATTTACCCTACAAGTTGTATTATTGGTAAGACCATTTTTCCTAATAATTTCTTTTGAGATAATACAGTTTAATTTGTTCCAAGTTTTATTCCTACATCATATCTTACCAAAGCATTTATTTAATTCTTTCAGTTCTGAGTGTATCTTTACTGTATTCATTATCCTAAGATATACACTTTAGATGCGAAATGCCTGAGAAATCGCTATGCTAACCGTTCTTGTTACTCACATGTGACTACAGCAGATTTCCAGCCATGCATTTCCCTCTGACATAGAACACAACAATGAGTCATGGAGGCAGAAAGCGGTTCACCTGCAGACTTGCTCTGCTCCGTCGCTTCTTCCAAGAGGCCCAGGATATGTCAGGTCATGGTGCACCCAAGTCACAATGGTATTGATTACAGCCAGGTTAGAAAGGGCTCGCTTTTGTTCAGAGCAGACTCTATATCATTGAAGAGGGGGATCAGATCTTCAGATTCCAAAGTGCCAAGGTCCACATTGGTTCCTGGAAGACAGTCTAGAAAATCAGGGAAACGGGTCTGCTGAGGATTGATGTTCATGGGCGTCTGTCCTGCATTTTCTCCTATAACAAAATAAAAGGAAGCCATTTTAACTCCTTTTTTTAAGCTCTTGAAAGAGTAACAGTCCACCAAAACTTTGTAAAGAACTCACAAAACTCAACACCAAAAAAACAAACCACCCAATTTAAAAAATGGGTAAAGGACGAAAAGACACTTCTCCAAAGAGGACATAGAGATGACCAACAGACATATGAAAAGATGTGTAATGTCACTACTTGTCAGAGAAATGCAAATTAAAACAATGAGATACCATCTCACACCTGTCAGAATGGCTATCATCAATAAATCAACAAACAATAACTACTGGCGAGAATGTGGAGAAACGGGAACCTGTCTACACTCTTGGTGGGAATGCAGATTGGTTCAGCCACTGTGGAAAGCAGTACGAAGATACCTCAAAAATTTAAAAATGGATTTGCCTTTTGACCCAGCAATCCCACTTCTGAGAATATATCCAAAGGAACCTAAGACACTAATTTGAAGGAACAGAAGAACCCCGATGTTCATTGCAGCATTATTTACAATCACCAAGATTTAGAAGCAGCGCAAGTGTCCTTCAGTAAATGAGTGGATAAAACAAATATGGAACATTTACACAACAGAGTACTACTTGGCTATAAAAAAGAAGAAAGTCTTACCCTTTGCAACAGTATGGATGGACCTGGAAAATATTATGCTAAGTGAAATAAGTCGGGCAGAGAATGACAAACACCATATGATTTCACTCATATGTGGAATCTAATGAACAAACTGAACTAATAAGCAAAAGAGAGAGACTCATAGAAAACAGGATGACAGCTAAGGGGGTGGGGTATTGAGGGGGTAGAAGTATTGAGCAAAAAGGAAAAAGAACTCATGGACATAGACAACAGTGTGGTGATTGCAAAGGGAAGGAGAGTATAAAGGGACTAAATGGTAATTAAAAAATACAATAAATTCTTTTAAGAAATAAAATAAGTTAAACAATAAAAAAGATTAAAAAAAGAAAGAAAGAGAGATAGTCCAAGTTTAACATAACTTCATTTTTGCTGTGCCTACATTTAATCAGAAGATTATATTGCTGCAGGTCTAAAATATTCCATCTCTGGGCAAAATTCCAGGTACCACCACTGACACCGAGTTGGTGATGTTCACTCCTAGGAGACACAGAGATGCCGGCTGAATCTTTAACCGCTCTCGGTTAGACATGGTCCAGAGTGGGGAAGTCCAGGGAGACAGGGAAGGCGCATGTGAAGGCCCTTTGGGTCTGACCTACGACCTGTGCCTTCCCATGACGGCGGCATGAAGACCTGTTTTGTGAAAGAGTAGAGAGGTCCTGCCTGTCATAGCTTCCCCATCAAGGCTATATAATCTCAGGATTTAATTGCAAGCTCCTATGTACCCGTAGTGAGGGGTTTCTTTTAACCACATTATTAAAAGGCTGTCTTCATTGATGACTCTAGGGATCAATTTCAAAGCATTTTATAAAGTGGATTCTGTGGATCATCCCCCTCCCTCCACACACACATACACACCCCACCTAACTACCCGCTTATCTCACAATGCATGTGAGTCACAATGCATCCAGCGTATAAAGGCTCTGAGGAGTCTTGCAGTAAATCAATGTTTCATTTCTTTAAGCTACTATTACCTAAGCGCACTCAATCACCTAATCATATATTGGTAGAACTTCTATCCTGATAGAACCAGGGTCTGTAGAACACACTTGGTCTCCATGGCAAAATGATTGCTCTGAATGAGGTACAAAAACAAAAAGGACTTCAGGTCAGGGGAATGTAGAATAAATATCCATCACCATCGAAGTTCTGCTATATTTGAGAAGGTGAAGCAACTCCACGGACACAGTTCACGGGCTGATTTGCTACTCAGGTCCAAAATATGGATTGAGATAGGAAACATTTACTAGAACCTTCTGGCCAATAACTTTGAAGAGACCTCGTGGAGGAGTCAGCGAGGGGCCTTTTCTGCAGACCTGACCTGTACTTCCCCAGCATGTGCACCGGGGGCTGTGCCAAGTGCCTGGGGTGCACCCTCCTTCCACTCTCCACAATTGCTTTCCTGTCTAACATCCTGCTATTTTTCCCTGGAGGAAAAGAGATAGACAACATCCACCACCTTTCCCAAGAGGTCTGGTATTTCGGAGGAATATTAGGGAGCGGGTTCATGGTGAGTACAAAGCCTTAAAATCCCCCTGAAGGAGATTGTTACCCCATTCTTCAAAAATCGGGCACTTATTGATCAGGAAGATATTTTGTTGCTAACAGAAACGCAAGCATTCCATGGTTAAGTTTATGCCTTAATTTTTCCCTTTTCAATCAAGACCTAACAAGGAAACATGTCGCCCAAATTTACTAGGTAATTTAAACTTGGGCTGACAGTTCTCATGGGTCAATTTAGTTCCAGGAACCAAACTGAAGGTCACCCAAGAGAAGGTGCTAGGAGTGTTTCGAGTGGGGAGCTGGAAATACACTTTCTAGATAAATGATTGACTAAAAATCACCCAGAGAAGCAGATGTCAGTGGATTCTTCTTCCACGCGTGCATGACAGATTTCCTATCCTTTGTTCCTAATAGAGATTGGAAACTTCTGCTTTAGAGAGACACTTCTCATGATAATCAATGCCGCATTTTTTTTTTCTTCTCCTAACTTACGAGCTAAATGAAAATTCAGGGTGTCAGATATTGAAATCTTGCTCCATTCAGACTGCAGTTAAGCCAAATGGCATCTAAATGCTCAAAACATTTGTCCACCCCACCAGCTATACTCTGATAGCTCTTGTATATCCTTTGGCCACTAAGTCCCATGTCACGGCTGTGGCTCCTCACACACATAGGCAGGTGTGGGCCTCCCTTTCACACCTCAGACCCATTCTGAGGTTCTTCTCTTCTTGATAGATGCTCTTACCCGCTAATATGTTGTTGGACCTGAAGAACAATGACTGCTGTGGGTGCTGTGGCCTCAAGAGCTGTGGAAAAAGATTTGCGGTGAGTACCCAGGGGGCAGATGGCAGAACCAGCCCCAAACAGGACTCTAGGGACAGGGGTTGAAGGGATAGAGGTGAAATTCTTCCTGTGAATGGGAAGTAACAATAAAAGCCCATTTTAACAAATGAGCGCCCTTTTACTTATAGGGAACGAGTACCATTTTAGAGTTTACAAACAAGCAGGGATGTCCGACCTGGAGAACTGCCTGGTGCCAAATAAAGAATGCAGCCTGGGAAGCAGGGATGGGGACTGGACCTCTCCCTCGGCCAGGAGAGGCCCTGAGAACTGAGACGAGTCATTTCCTTCTCTGGTCCATCTGTAAAGGGGAACCTCCCCTCCCCAGTAGCCCCCTAAGTCCCCGTCCACACCACTGTCAGGTCACTGCCTCAGTGCCCGGCTCTTCCCGCTTCTCCCTGGATTTTGCCTCAGGACTTCCTCCTTCATGCAGCCAACCATCTTTTCGCAGGTGGGCAGAGAGATCAGGCATCATCGTTCTGTGGTGGGTGGAAAGAATTCTGGGATGTAGGGTCGGATCTCATTTCTACAACTGGGCGGGTCACTGTGCTGCTCTCGGCCTTCCTCTGCTCCCCTGTAATAGGAGTAAGTTGGACTAGAGCAGAATTTCCCACGTTTACTCCACGCTCTGCTGGTTGGCACAGAGATGTGCTATAGTTTTCAATAACATGGAAAGTCATTCTTGTTTTCTCCTTCAACCTTTTGATTCTATCACCAAAAAAAATCTTTCTGATGAAAAGAAGTCTTGACTATTTTTAACTCCTCATAATCTCCCTTTCTAACAAAGGAGAACAAGTCTTCAGATGCAAAAATGCAAGCAACATTAATGAATTTATGATATGTTATGTTTGCGAAAGAATCTAGTTTTTTTGTTCAGATGACTTAAAGGAAAGTATTCTTTAAGTAAAGAAGGCTTCTGTGGAACATTGTTCAATAAACCCTACTGGTCAGAAAGGCCCATGAGCATAAACAGACCAAGCCACGTGCCGGGGGCTCCCTCCTGCTGCTGTCCCCACAACCTCGCCCTCTATCTTTCCCAGGCCCTGCTCTCTCTCTCCTCTCTTGTGCTACGTTTTTCCGGAATGTTCCCCAGAAGTCAGCTGCATCATTCTCTTTTCTTTCCTTTCCTTGGGTAGTAAAACCAGGAACAAGAATCCACTGTAGAAGCAGGATGCGTTGACTGTAGGGCTGAAAAAAAAATCATGCAATCACCTAATTGATAGTTCATGGTGAAACCAGGAAATGGAGACACGCTGTCCACTGAGGCAGAGCAAAAAGGGAGCCCAGCCCCTGGGGTCTCCACTCTTCAAGAAGCTGGACTGAAAGGCTGAGGCGAGAGAGCAGGGCACTCCCAAGGTGGGCTTGAAAAACCCTGTCTGCAGTTTGTTTTCTGGTCTCTACCTCTTCCTCCCAACTGGAGGTTCTTCTGCCCTCTAATCCTTTTTAAAAAGTGATCTCTAGGGTCCCATGGGACTGCTAATCAATTTCATCAACTCATTCACGTCAAGTACCTGCTTTCAAAAGAGCCTTTTGAGGACCTTGGCTCAAAGATCTCTTTAATAATGGGATGAAGGTAGATTGATAAGGAGATATGTTAGGGGCAGGCTCCTATTTCAGCGCCCTTTTAAGGTAGATAAAGGTCCACCCCACCCACAGGCAGGGCCAGAGGGCTGATGGGCTGGTGGCAGGGAAGATGTCCTCAGGTCCCAAAGGAGTGTTTTCATTGGGAGTGATCAGCAGGGCCCCTGGGGATGCCCCTGGTGTGAGCGCTTCTGGAGCGAGCTTCTCAGCTAGTTGGAGGGGTATTTAAGAAGACAGTTCCTTGGAAATGATCATCTTAAAGGCAGAAATACATTTCACAAAACGGTTTTTATGCTGTGAAATGAACCATAGCATGCGCTACCTTTCATAAGGACCCTGCAAGGTTTGGGGGAAGACGTGGTAAGCACAGTGTGCAGGGAAGGGGACAGTGGTACCCGGTGCCCGGGGACTGAGGGCACAAATGTCCTCACTAAATGCTTGTGGGGTGGATGAAGTAAACGAACACTCGGGAGGAATTTCAGGTGATTTCCAAACTTACAGTTCAATTCTCACAGAACCTTTTCAGATAGGCATTAAACGCCTCATTGTATAAATAAGGAATCTGAGACACATGACATTAACTGTCTGACTGCAACCCTCCTCTCTGCCATCTGCCCCCACTTCCCTAGCATGGCCAATGCGGAAAATACAGGACACTAACATTTTAAGGGGGGGAAAACAGGTAATCTCTATATATCCTATAGTATAATTGCTAAGGAGGAACGTCCTTGCCCACCAGACATGTTTCTGCACATGTTGCTACGACCCAAGTCTCTAAACACCATGTCCCCAAACCTCCCAGTTTTCCTCCCTTCCCAGCCCCCAGTGCCTCTTCCCTCTGGTTCAGCAGACCTCAGCACACACCAGACCCAGGACCCACCATGGATGGGGCAGAAATGGGGTTCGATCCCAAGTGGTCTGCCCCCAACAGCCCAACAGAAAGGGAGGTCTTAAAGCTGACAAGTGGTGAATGAGAGGGCGTCTGATTAGACTGCATTTTTATCTTCCATTTCAAGGGAGTGCTTTACAGCATATATATATATAAAGAAATTTCTTTATCAATGTGGACAGAACAGGTGTGTTGAACAACCATAAGAGAGCCCATTTACTTCTGTTTTGCTGCTCAGGGTTATGCTTTCTGTATTGTATTTGTATAAAATGTGTATGTCAGAGTATGATAATAGAAATATTACAATATAATAATAACATTTACAAGTTCTTGCTAATGATATGGGAAATTAGTCAAAACTTGAACACAGGCAAAAGAGAGTTCTGGTTATCCTATCAGTGGAGGGCATTAACTATTATAATAACCCACCTAACTGTGGTTATCTGATTTTCTAGAGTACGTCTTTTTGATGCCCTATTCACTATTGATTAGGCAATTGTATAAATTATAGTCTCCCTCAGGCAGGTACTTATTACTGAGCCTTACTTTACAGAATGGAAGTGGAGGTCTCAGAGAGATTAATTTCCCAAGGTCATAAGGGAGTAACCAGGACTCAGACCCAGATTGGTCTGCTTATAAGTCATGCCCAGGACCACTATATGGTGGTGTCCCTCTTTAGTATTCATTCTTTTAGATGAGGAAAAACATTTCCAAAGTTCAAAGACTACTAAAGAAACTTCCCATTCCTGGTTCCAAATTCCTCCTCTCTCCTCCTCCTCCCCAGACCCTCCATAGGTTACCACTGTTCCCAATTATTGAGTCTTCTTCCAGAGATATTCCAAACTTGTTACCTGTTTCAGAAAACACCAACTTAGAGTGTCCTTCCTCAAACATATTAAACTTGATCTTAACAACTTTTCTTTTAACAAAAAAATTTTTATCTTTGCCCTGGCTAGTGTGGCACAGTGGAATGAGTGCAGGCCTGTGAACTGAAAGGTCTCCAGCTCCACTGCCAGTGAGGGCACATGCCTGGGTTGTAGCCAGGTTCCCAGTTGTGGGCATGCAAGAGGCAACCAACTGATAGATGTTTCTTTCACACATCAATGTTTATCTCCCTTTCTTTCTCCCTCCTTTCCCCTTTCTCTAAAAATAAATAAAATCTTTTTTAAAAATTTGTCTTTTAGAACCTATGATGAAGTTATTTTATACTGGTTTTAACACTGATGATACCTTTGTTGTAATTTGGCATTTTAAAAGGATTTCTGAACCTAAAATTAGTTAAAACAAAAGGACTTAAAGTGTGCTTTGCATCATGTGGTTTATCAGGAAATGTTATAAAATATAAGTTTGGAGCAAAAGAAAAAATTTTAAAAATCTGTTTGGGGTGTTTGTTTTATTCATTTTAAGGAAAGAGATTTCAAATTGGAATATAAAAACAGAACATACCACTTGTAGTTTTATGAAGTTATAGTTCAATGCCTTATTTTCTTCCAATTGTTTTATAAAGAAATAACACATTATTGGTTCATTTGAAAGTCACTGTTTTCCTTTCCACTATTACATTTCCCTCCCTCCTGTGAGGAACCATAATCATAATTTCAGTGCACACCATATCCATATATTTTTTAACTTTTACTTCCAACAGTCCATTTATCAATATTTTAGATAGAGTATGCTGTCCAGTACAGCAGCCACTGTCCACATGCGGCTATTGAGCACGCAGAATGTGGCTAATCTAAATTGAAACATACCCTAAGTATAAAATACATACTAGATCTCAAAGAATTAATACAAAAGAAAGTAAAATATCTCACCAGTAGTTTTTATATCGAATGTATGTTGAAATGACGAGAGTTTAGATAAGTCAAGGTAAAGAATATGTATATTTATAATTTTTAAACTTTTTTAATGGTAGTTACTAAAAATTTTTTAATTATATATATAATTAACATTATAATTTCAAAGAACTGTGTTTACAGTGGGGACTCCTTGTTAAAGGGAAAAATCATCTAATTGCTATTTTATAGTAACCTGGTTTTTCATTTACTCAGACTTAACTAAGATAAGGAATGTTTGCATTTGTACTCACTTTTTGTGTCTTTAAATATCTGTGTGCCAAAATGTTCCAGGATTGATATCTAAAGCCTTACTCAGATCACACAGCAGGAATAGCACAAGTCAGATTTCTCTTCTCACTACTAATTAATAGTTTTTGAAATTCTGAGTTGTTTTAGCTGAAGGGACCTTTTAGAACCTTCCACCACACACACACACACACACACACACACACACACACACACACACATACACACACACACATTAATAAGATATATATATATGGACTATTAAAATACCAATGGTATATTTCCAAATATTCCAAAAATTTACAAAGAAATAGAAAAGATTCTGAATAGCCTCAGAAATCTTGAGAAAGAAGAACACTTGGAGGGATCACAATACTGGATATCAAGCTATGCTATAAGGCCACTGTAATCTAAACAGCCTGATACTGGCACAAGAATAAGCACATAGATCAATAAAACAGAACAGAGAGCCCTGAAATTAACCTACACCTTTATGATCAATTAATATTCGACAAAGGAGACAAGAGCATACTATGAAGTATAAACAATCTCTTCAATAAATGCTGTTGGGAAGATTGGACAGGTACCTGCAAAAAAAAAAAAAAAAAATGAAATTAGACCATCAATTTATACCATACACAAGAATGAGCTCCAAATAGATTTAACTAAAAAAAATTTAAATGTACACTTTAAAACCAAAAAAATCCTGGAGAAAAACAGGCAGTAAAATCTCAGATAACTCTTAGATCAATATTTTTGCTGATATGTCTCCTAGGGCAAGCGAAACACAGGAAAAAATAAACAAATGGGACTACATCAAACTAAAAAGCTTCTGCACAGCAAAAAAAAAAAAAAATCAACAAAATGAAAAGTGAACCTATCTTAGGAAAGAACATAATCACCAGTGATAACATCTGATAATGGGTTAATCTCCAAAATATATAAAATACTTGTACAACTCATCAACACCAGAAAACAAACAATCCAATTAAAAAATGGGCAAAGGATCTAAATAGACATTTCTCCAAAAGAGACATAGAGATGGCAAATAGAGATATTAAAAGATGTTCAATGTCACTAATCATCAGATAAATGCAAATTAAAACAACAATGAGGTATTATCTCACACCTGCCAAAGTGGCTACTATTAATAAATCATCAAACAAGTGCTGGCAAGGATGTAGAGAAAAAGAAGACCTATAGCACTGTTGGTGGGAATGCAGCTTGGTGTACCTCCTATGGAAAACAGCATGGAGTTTCCTCAAAAAATTAAAAATGGAAGTGCCTTTTGACCCAGTGGTCCCACTTCTGGGTATATATCCTAAGAACCCCAGAACACTAATCAGAAAGGCTCCCATATTTTGCCATGTATAATGTGTACTTTTAGGGGAAAATAAGGATGCGCATTATACATGGGTATAATAATTACATACCATGAGTATAATAATAGATATAATAATCCCATGTATAATGTGCAGAAAAATGTGGGTATGCATTATACACAGCAAAATATGGCATATGCACTTCTATGTTCATGGCAGTGCTATTTATAATAGCCAAGATCTGGAAACAGCCCAAGTCCCCATTAGAAGATGAGGGGATGATAAAGCCGTGATACATTTACATGATGGAATACTATGTAGCTATAAAAAGGAAGGAACTCTCACCCTTTGCAACAGCTATGGACAGACCTGGAGATTACTATGTTAAGTGAAATGAACAAATTAGAGACAGAGAAGTACTATCAGATCTCACTGATATGTGAAATCTAATGAACAAAATAAACTAATGAACAAAATAAAACCAGAAGCATGGGTACAAGGAACAGACTGAGAAACGTCAGAGGGAGGTGTTGGGGGGAATGGATGAAAGGAGGTGAAGGGATTAGCTGAAGAATGTATATGCATAGCCCATGGACATGGACAACAGTGTGGGGAAGGCGAGGGGCGGTAGGGACAGGGTCTGGGTGGCAGTAGGCAAAGGGGGGAATAGGGAACATCTGCAAGAGCATCAACAATACAAAATAAAAAGTTAAAATTAAAAAGAACAAAAATAAATAAATAAATAAATAAATAAATGCTTCTAGCTAAATTCCAAGTTAATCTGATTAAAAACATATTGACACTGAAAAAAAAGCAAGTTATTTAACTTTATGTAATTTAACAATTTCTAAAATTATTCAACAAGGCATAGTTTGGAAAAGAACAGCTATTCTAACATGAGAAATTCACCAAAATTTTTATTTACTTATGCCCTAGAGTATCTTCACAAATGTTTTTGATGGTGAGAATGGATTTAGGACACCCTAAACATAAAAATTTTTTTTTAAAAATCTAAACAATGAGTGATATGAAACTTTAGTCATTGAAGTCATCTAACAGGTAGTTAGTTATCCCTTGATAAATCAAGAAGAGGAAAACCCAAACAATGTCTTAACTAGCTTCAAATAACTCACTGTCCATGGCTTCAAGGAGTCTGTGCTCTGGCTAAGAAGACAAACATAAAAAGCTATGCATTAAAGTGTTGTAGGCACTGCACTGTGATAGAAGTTTAGGCAGTCGGAGAACCTGGGGCGGGAGACAGGGAGAGAATGGTCGCTTCTACATGGGAAGACAGACAAGGCTTCATAAGGCACATGGGGCCAGAGCTGTCTAGAAAGCTGCACCAAAAATACATTTATATATGATATGAAAACAAATACCAACTGAAGTGGAACTCCATTATTATGTAGATTTCATATCCATTATGGTAATATTGTTAGTAATACATGGAGAGGAAGGGGAAGAACCTGACATTTAAATTAGGTTTCACAACAGACCTTTGGGTAAGCTTTATTATTCCCATTTTATAGATCAGAAAACTAAGACTCTGAGGAAACATTCATTATACAAAATCACCACACAGAGAAAAGTAGCAAAGCTAAGATCTGGGTCTGCTGGGTCTGCTGACTTTTAAAATCATGTGCTTTGCAGTAAACCTTCAAGTCACCAAATTAAAGTTAATAGAGGTGATAATTTTCCCCCTCTATTTCAAAAATTATTAATGTTCCCACACTACTCTCTTACTGCTGTTTAGAATCGACATTGCATCTCTGGGCCTAATCTGGTTCATCTATAGGAGACAGCCAAATGGGCTCCAGGATTGTTTCTGCCTTTCATTTTGTATAATTCTATTTTGATTTATAATTAATTAAATAAAAAGAAAGATGCTAGTGCAATTAATGCTTCACTAAGTAATCTCTGTCATATAAAAATATTTAAAAGAACTAGGGCCCTGACAGGCGTGGCTCAGTTTGTTGGACATTGTCCCACAAAGCAAAAGGTCAGTCAAGGCACATGCCTAAGTTGTGGGTTCAATTCCCAGTTGGGAATCGTATGAGAGGCAACTGATATGTCTCTCTCACATTGATGTTTCTCCCTCTTTCTTTCTCCATCCCTTCCCCTCTCTCTAAAAATAAATAAATACAATCTTTAAAAAGAAGAAGACGAAATGGAATGCTGGGCTTATTTAACCCAAAGAAGAAAAAACTTTCAGAGAGTGGAAGGGGTGGAGAGATGTTAAATATATGTTTAAGATACAAAATGTCTGCAGATATTTTGAAGGTTGAGACCACATGGAAGAGAGGTTGGACTCAATCATTTTGACCTCAGGGAATATAACTACAACAAATGAGAATTTCTAGACTTCTATTCTTTCTCAACAGCAGAACTTGAATGCTACATGACACCAAGATCATTCTCAGAGACCTGAGAGGTCCCATCCCTTGTTAAGACTGGCTCCTGCCTGTAACAACCCTGTAGCTACCATGCTTAGCCATAGGCTGGTTAGGTGTGTTGACACCAACATACGGGCCACCTTAAGAACCTGGCTGTCTCTCTTTTTCTCTTTCAGATGTTCTCCTCCATAATATTTGCTGTGATTGGGTTCTTGGGTGCTGCATACTCATTTGTCATCTCACTCATCTCAATCAGGAAGGGTCCTAAATGTCTCATGGACAATAACGAGTGGGGCTACCCCTTCCAAAATGGGTAAAGTATACGCTGCAATGCCCGCTTGTTACTACAGGGGGAGAAACTGCACATCTCCTGCCATCTTTATTTACAAGTCTCAGGCATGTTGCTCTTTGAGGCAGAGCTGGAATTGGGGACTGGAGTGAAGTTGCACACAATCTCACCTCTAATCTCACCTCCCAATGCTGTTCTGACAGAGACCAGGAGGAATAAAGAAAGAGGGCATCTCCGCTGGCCTGAGGGAAGGAGATTTGTGGTGTCCCCACTGGTATCCAAAATTTATTAGCAGACACATGAGACAACTAATAATACTAATAAACAGAGTATTGGGTTCCATTGCAAATCTCATAATAGAAAACAAAAACGATTACTCACTAACAGGGCTCAGTGCTTTCACTTAACCTCAAATTTGTCAAATATTGACAAATTAGTCAAATAGTCAAATAATCATGGACAAAACCATTTTTAAGGTGCAAAATTAAAGCAAATGACATTGGAAATACTGTAGATTCTTCGTGAGAATATATGTTAATAGAACTCATTAAAATAACACTTTGTATTTTCAAGGTCTTTGTAGTTTACAAAGAACTTTCCTTTTTTAAAACAAATTTATAATTAAATATTTGTAATAAACCCAAAAGGTAATTTACTTCCTGCCAAGACAGGCATAATAACTCTGATGTGCTCCAAGTCAGACCACCAGCTGGGGGCAGAGGCAGGACGTCCAGGCTTAGTGTTCCCATGTTACCCATTCCCTGCCTCTCGACTGCTCTGTCCTGCCAGTAGCCTCATGTAACTATTTACATTTAAATTAATTCCAATGAAGTAAAATCTAAAAATCCTCCATCGCATTAGTCATCTTTCTAGTCCTCAGTGGCCACGCATGGCTGGTAGTGACTGTATCGACCATCACAGGCATAGGACAGCTTCATCGTCACACGCAGCCTATCAGATACTGCCATGTAGACTCTGACCCCCGCGAGGGCTGGGGCCATTTCTGCTCTGTTCACCGCGGCAGCCCCACCACCCAGCACAGTCACTCACACATCTGGAGAGTCAGGGAAGACGGTTGTTTGGTCCTCTCACACACGGAAGATGGGTTCATTACTAGAAAATCTATGGGACTCCATATTACTAACGTACAATGAGAGACTAAGGAACCTCAGGGCAGGTTTCTGATGGGGGAGAGGGTGGTACTGGTTCTGTCATGATCTGAGGTCTCGAGGTATTCACAAGTTTCACATAAAATATCATCCCCACCCTTCTCTGTAGCTAAGCAGTAATACAAGGCCTCTGTTATAGGCAGTGATTTCCAAATGTATTTTACAGTAAAGAGCCCTCTCGTCTCGCAGAGGACTGTTGGGGCCGTACTGTCATGGGGTTGGCCTCCCTGAGCACAGGTATTCAGACGTCAGAAGGCTGAGCCACCTCTGAGGTTCTTCCCCTGAGGGCTCTCTCTCCCCCACCTGGGGGTGTGGCTGTCAGCTACAGATTACATCTTCTTTCAAGGACCCACTTTTTATTTTTTCTAACATCATCAGTGCAGTACAAACAGGTTTTACTATTTATTCTGTTATGTGAATAATATCATCCTTGATCAATTAAAAATCACTTAGAGTAAATCTATGTCCACAACAAAGGAAGAAGAGAGGGAACACAGCAGATGCCCAGCCACATGCAAGGTGGTACAACATTCTCAAGTGTCTGACACTAGGGCCAAACGTGTCCCCTGGCATAGTCACACCTGCCTGTGATGCAATGGGACCAATGCCCTGCTCTCGTTAGCTCACTTTAGAGAGTAGAAAGGTCTTTTTTTTTTTTTTTTCTAAGTTTTGCTACAGGTAACTATGCCATTAATGATTTTGTGATTTAATTCAATCTTTTCAAGCAGTCACAAGAAGACTCAAAGAGAATAATCTCTTTATCATGGTATGAGTAAACCTTGTTTGGCACACTATTATACATGTATTTATTTTATCAATAAATCATATTTCAAATATACTAAGCAGATATAATTAGTTAGAGAGATTTATGCAATGGTGAGGAGCATTGGCTTTGGAGTCAGACAGGCTTTAGGTCAAACCCAGGCACTTCCATTTCCAGCCTCAACTTTTTAATCTGCATTCAGAATCTGTAGGCTCATTCACCCAGTGACTGTTCCCTGAAGGTAACTCTCTGCCAGGCATTGTCCAAGGGGAGCAGCACCTCCCGGTCACACCGGAGAGGGTGATGTGAAGCAGCTGCCCAGAACACGGGCAGGTCGCAGTCCCTGAAAGCAGCCGCTGGTTACTGAAACTGCATGTGCTGGAACTGGGGACAGACACAGGGGACATGGCCCTGCCCTCGTGAGTGTCAAGTCCCAAAGAGGAGACAGGCAGAAGGCCAGCCGGTGACACGGAGTGCTGGGAAGCACACAAGGGAAACCAAAGGCAGCTCAAGGCAGGAGGAGCACCAGCAGTCTGTCCCGGAGGAGGAGGTGGCACCTGGATTAGCCCCACAGAGGAGCCAGGCTGAGCATCCAGCCTCCCCCTGCTCCTTCCTTCAGCTGCAGGGAGTGAGTTGCAGGAAATGCACAGCTCTCTGGGCCGATGTTGACAGGATCACTGCAGCTCGGGTGGAAAGGCCCTGCACAAGAACCCGGATGCTCAGTAAACTGCCTGGAAACTGCCCCAGCTCCCCTTGCTTCACAGGCTATGGGGCAGGATTAGCCCCCAGGGCCACGAGATAGGAGAGCCCCTCTCACCAGGGCACGGCAGTCATCGCCGGGATCTCTGAGACGCTCAGACCTGCGAGTTCAGGGCAGAGAGGAAGGGCCTGGAGCAGCCATCCGTGGTGGTTTGTGGGGCCTGAGGCAGCAGCGGGAGTGGGGCTGAGCCCTGCTCCGGGCGCCAAGCTCAGTCCTGGCTGCCAAGGTCCCGCTTGAGCGTTTTACTAATCTCACCGCCAGGAGACGCTGTCATCCCGCCGCTGCACACGCTGCAGGCGAGGGAAAGAACTCGGCGCTGCCGATCGCTTCACCTCAGGGGCTTTCCTTTACCAAATGTGCCTGGGAAATGGTGTCTCTCCATAACGCCTTATCATCAGCAAGTTGAAAATCTGTGTAGATAGATACACAGGAAAATACAAGGAAAAATGCAGAACAGAAAGATGAGTGTTTTACAAATAATAACTACTGAAGAGAGGCCTTGCACAACAATTCGTAAGGGATATTGTCTCCGGGAATTCTCACAATTGAGAGGTTTTTAGCCTATGGTATAGATAATGAAACTGATACTGTGCCAGGGAGAGGGATGGGGAGCATAAGTAATTTGTATGAGGAATTCACAGATAGTAAGATGAATCCTTGCACTCAAACCCAAGTCTATCAGAAGTCAAAATACCAGCTTCTGTCCTGTAGACCAGGCAGCTCAGATTAAGTGAAATTATAACAATACTAACACTCATTGAGCACTTACTATATGCTAGGCACGGTCCTAATCTCTTTCCTAGTGTGAACTCATTTAGCCCTTACAATAACTCCATGTTTCCATAGATGATGTCATTCCCATTTTATAGGTAAGTCACGCAGCTAGTGCGCAGCTAAACCCTGTGCTCTTGTGGAAAGGTGAATCAATGCTATAAACAGTCTTTTATTTTTTAAATCAAGAGCAAATGCTCACTCCCTTGTTCCTCTGACTGTTAAATGCCAAGGCATCTTCCATCACTGCAAAGATTTTTCAAATTTTAACACAAAATATATTGAAATAAGTGTATACTGATTAAAGAATCTATCAGAAACAGGAGTCATCAAAAAGACCTAGAAACAATAAGGTGGATGTTGATTTAGGAGCCACATGCAGACAGAGGTTCGCATTGAGGCCTTGAGAGGATAGAGGGGGCATAAGGAAAGCGGGGGAGGCCAATTTGTGGCTCTAAGAATAAGAGAAGGAATAATAATAACCCAAAAGATTGACCCAGTTTCCTGTGCTTTTTGTTGAAGACAGCAGGGTACACATTTCTCCTTCATAGCATGACGTCCTTTATATGAAGTGAATTCCTAATATACAGAATTCATCAATATATTGCAGTGCTACTATTTCAAAGTTTTTGTAAAATATATATTAAGGCAGCAGATTATTTAGTGCTTTTAATTAAATATTTTTGCATGTGGAATTCCCACATGTTAACAAAAACATAGTTGAGTCAAATTCATAATTTGGCTAGGAGTCTTTTAAAAAATCAAGCTTTTCCTTTTAACTATATAACACAATTGTACTATACATGAGTTCTGATGACCACTAGATGCAATAGAATTTTGTCAAAGTCCAAGTGGTCTCAAGTGACAGTAGGTGAGATAAAGCCAAGGAATATTTGTAAGATTCTATTCCTGGAGTGTTTCATTTCTAGGTTCCTTAATAGATACTGAATTTACCTGTTCTCTTGGTCAACTCACAAAAATCACTATGTCGCTTAGTAGCCCTGTGTCCTATGGGTAAGTCACTTAACCTCTCTGTGCTTCAATATCTTTATTTGTGATAAAAAAAAAACTTTTCTATGAGAAATAAATGAGTGCATTAGTGTAAAGTGAGCAGAAAAGAGACTAACACATATAATACAGTCAATAAAAATATTAGGCATTGTTTTAAAAAGTAGCGATATTATGGAATGTATTTCTTATTGAACTTAGGTTTTGGATGGAAAGCATTGCAAAAAAAATTTATTATGGTGACTCTGTAGTCTAGGGTATTGTCTACATTTTATAGATGTCTCCTTTCCTCCCCCATGCTCCTGACAGGGACTACCTCAGTGACAAATCGCTACGGAGCAAGTGCCGGGAGCCCGAGAATGTGGTTTCCTGGAATCTCACCCTCTTCTCCATCCTGCTGGTCATAGCGGTGATCCAGATGGTTCTCTGTGCCATCCAGGTGGTCAATGGTCTCCTGGGGACTGTGTGTGGAAACTGCTGTCGGGTAAGTTGAGGCATTTTTCCTTTCTTCTCAGGATGAGAGCGCTGAGGCTGACCTGCAGTGCTAGTGGAATGACATGGTACAGAGAGTGCCAGCTACAGAAAACCAGAGTCAGGCTGGACAGTCCAGGAAGCCCCCTCGGTCAACCCAGGGAAACTGTGACTTTGTGTTGCTGGAACCCAGAAGTTTCGCTTTCTTTGCATGTTAATATACTCAGGCTGAATTTATCCCACATTTTTCATCTCACACCCAGTTGACCATAGTCCTACAGACAAAGTACTGCATATCATATAGAAATTTATAATAATGTTATGTGAAAATCCCCAGGTAGTGGGCATTTGTCATATGCACATATTGTCAGCAGTAACACATCATGGTCTCGGCCGAAACATTCTCACCGTTTCCTAACTAGAGCTACACAGCGCGTTAAAGTTGCCAGGTAATAGTATGAAACATGCTTCAGAGTATTTTATTTTCTCTGGAATAGAATAGAATTCACCAATGTAAAACCTATATTTTGATGAAATTTATGATCCAGATGAGAGAAATCGTTAACATGTGGGAAAAAAGTCACCGAGGATTTAAGTAACCAATAAGTGGCGGTAGTAATCAGTACAACGGGGGTGATGGGGAGGGAAGAAGGGAAAAGGGAAGCAAGAAACTAAGAAGAATAATATTATAATTAACTTTTCTACCTTTTAGGGATATAGACGAATTTAAACCTCTGTGATGACCTTCTCTAACTTGATGGCATGTGGGAAGACTATTAAACTTGACCTTTTCTCTTTGGGGTTGTCAGTCTTATCTGTATCCAAACTGTCAAAGCTTAGGGAGGGCACAGTTATTCCTTCTCCTTTCCAACCAGCTTAGCTCAACTTCCAGTTTTATGTTAGTTTCAAATGTGAAATAGTTTGGCCCCTTACACTATATTTTTAAATCTTTCATATTGATTTCCTTTTGGAATTGATCAAGAGATTCAAATTAAATTTACAAAATTTTTGCTTCCAAAGTGAAAATGTATAAAATCATATGTACTATCACACTGCTTCTTTGTATATACAGCTGTTTATGTCTTTGGAAGTTTTACATAATTCAGAGGAAGGAAGCACACGAAAAGTGAGAAACTAAGACCATTTTTTGTTTTCCAGATTTATAGGAAAAAAGTGATTGATGTATCATAAATAATTTTTATTTGGTTTCCTTTGGCTAATGTGTGTGAATAACATGAAACTAGTCTTTTGTGCCTACCATCATTAGCAAGGGTTTCCTTATGTGTATGAAACTAAAATTATAATTCAGTGGTAGTGTAATAAAGATGATGTGTGATTCCAGAGGGAGGACAAAATTTTGAATAAATAACACCCTCCTTTTACCTCTCTACAAGTGCCTCTTTTGATCAAACAAAAAACATTTTTAAAAAGTTGACTTGGGCCTATAGCCCAAGAATTAAGGTTATAGGTATGATTAATGCTATGTGTCATATTATGACATTAACTTTGGTTTTATGAGTCAGGCATTAATATGGAGTTAAATCCATTGTGTTGAGTTAAGTTCAAACTCCAACTGCTCCACATATCAGCTAGGGATCCTGGGAAGTTACTTTCTCAGTCTCCATTTCCCCATCAGTGAAATGACTGTTAAAAGGCAATCAACCATCCAGGAAATGTTGAAGTCCCCCAACGGTGAAATAAGGAGGCCTGTGGGATTGGTAACTTGACTCGTGTACAATAAGAAGAGTCCCAGAGGGTGTTCCAAGCCAGCGAGGCTCACCTCTCCACCTGCCAAGCTGATAGGCCACACTGGGTAAGTTAGCCACACTGACAACTAGGTTTCTTACAGTCATTAATAAAGCAATTACCAGTCTCCACTGAATGCTGGCCCCTGGGAGACAGCTGCTGAAGACACAAGGACTTACATGTTACATGTCTTTGGTTTTGCCCTCACTGCAATGAGAACTCTGAGATCACAGATCAAATCTGGCATTTAACAGGAAGAAGGAAGAAAGGCAGTCATGTAGGCATTAAGACCTCCTTGGGAGAACTATAAATAGACACACACACACATACAGTGTTTCAAATCAGTTTAGACCACTGTTTCTCAAATGTGGCTGATCTTCAGAATCATCCAGGAAATGTTCTAAAACTATGATCCCTGAGCCCCGCATAGACCTAATGCAACTGAAAATTGAGGCATGAAGCATGGAAGTCTATCCTTTGCTGTTACTTAGTTTTTAAAGCTCACCAGCCACTATGCTGAAAACCAGCCACTTTGAGCAACCCTTGACCACTTGTAATAAAAAAAAACACCCAACATTTTTTACAGAAATCTTGGTAATGTATACCATGGGTAATTTCACTTCCTCCCCAGAACAACTGACCAAGTGTTCTTACCCTCTGCTTTGTCTTGACTTGTGCAAAGCTTCTTCCATCCCCACAGGCCCCTCTTCCTGGCCCCCAGCCCGGAACAGCACTCGGGTGTCCCTTTATCAGCTTCCGCGGGGACTGGGCTGACCACGGTGAGAGGCCCTTCCCGTCCGACCGCAGCCATCATGCCCCCTTGCTTGCCCAGCTTCCCGTTGCTGCTAAGGGCTGCTTACCTCTCCCAGAGAAAGAGAAACCTTTTCTGTTCGTGTCTGAGGCAGCAGCAAATTCCTGAGATTGGAGATTGTCCTGCTGCAATTGTCCTTTTGAATAAAGTTTCTCCTTAGCTAAGTCTGGGTTTGTTTGTATTTGACACAGCCTTTTGATATAAAAACTATGATTGGCCTATTTTGTGTAAGAGTAAAGTGAGGCTTAGAACAAAATCGTAGCTTCCCAGGGCCCCATAAACAACAAATGGGAAATCCAGATCCAAACCCAAACAGTTGCGTGCTCGAGGGTGAGTCCACTCTCTCAGCCACTGTGCTAAGTGGCCTCACTGAGTCCCCTAAAAACATCTAGGAAAAATGCTTCCTTATTTAAAGTTTCTGTGTAGAATGAAAATACTAAAATTTTTGTTATCTTTAAATGTTATAATTAATGCTGTCCATTAATTCATGCTAACCTGAATTTGTGAGAACTATCAATTAAAATATTATAATCAAAATTAGTATTTTATATAATCTTTCAGAGCACCTAATTAAATACAACCACACTCAGGGCCCCTGGTTGCTTACTCCTGTGCTTTCTACTTCCCAAGTATTTCTTTTTATTTTCTAATTAAATTTATTGGGGTGACATTGGTTAATAAAATTACATAGGCTTCAAGTATACAATTCTATGGTACATCATTGTATATTGCATTGTATGCCCACCATCCCCAAGTATTTCTATTTACTGACTTTATCCTCTCTGTGTGGAAGAAACCAGGATGCAGGAGAGGATTTCTAGAATCATCAGGGTTTAAAAAGAAAAAAATAAAAGGCAGGTTCCTAAGCCTGTGCCCCGCGCAGCACCGAGGAGGCTCTCCGAGTCCCTTGTGCCTGTCGCCCCCTTGAGGGGCTGCCACTGGCAAAGCATGACTCAGATGTGGACACCATTCCTCGCATGCGTCGGCCCCACTTAACACCACAACCCTCCGCGGTAGGCGTGCGGTTATTACTGCCTTACATGAGGACTGAGGAGACCGAGGCACAAACAGGGTCAGCCAGAAGCCCAACGTCACAGAGCAACTCCGTTGCACAGCTGGCATTCCACACAGGACAGCCGGCTCCAGAGCCCCCCCCGCCCACCGGGCTCTCCTGCCCCGTCCCCCAGAGACTGTCCCTCGGCCGCGCTACAGCTCTGCTGCCCTCAGGAGCCACGCAGAGGCTGAGCCCTTCTCAGCACCGAGCAGACCAGCAGCACTTTCAGTCACAAGATCCGCCACAGAATTCTCAGTGTGATACATACAAACAGACCCCCGCATTAACAGATTCTTCAAATATCTACTCATATTCATTCTCAAGAAAGCTCCATGAACTGAGTTCTAAGAAAACACCTGCAGGCACTGCAGGCACTGGGAGATGCTGTCTGTGGTCTGCAGCTGAAAATGCAGACCTACATTTACTAGGTCTTCGAGCTACATTTACTAACGTGTCTTTTTCAGCAGTGCTTTGGGTTCACTATTTCAGTGTGGCACTGGACCATGGGAGAGAGAACTGGATGCTGGCTGAGACATAGTAAGTGTGTTGCTGTGGAAAAGCTTCAGTCTCCTGGCCTCACTTGCCTGGTCTGTAAATGGAATCGATGAGTCAGGCTTTTGCTACATCCTTTCTAAAGCTACCATGCTCAGGTTTGGGGATTGCCAGAAGCAGCCTAGATTTTTAAAATTTGGGTCCACAGAGCTTAGCTCCTTTGGAGAGCTTTAAAAAAAACCCCCAATATCTAGGCCCCACCTCCAGAGATAATGAATTCCTTAAGCCTAGGCATTTGTCCTTGTTTCTTGTAATTCACCATGTGATTCTAATAAGGAATGAGGAGGCAGGCTTTAGAACCAGTGCTCTGGGGTGCTCCCAAACTTGAATATTCATCAAAAACGCCTGGAAGGCTTATTCCCACCCCAAAGTTTCTGATTCAGTAGGCATAGGGGTGAGGCATGTCTAGTAAGTTCCTAGGATATGCTGATTCTGATGGCTCAGAGCTCACACTTCAAGAACTGCAGGAGTTTCCACACACTCTGAAATGGCATAAATGGTCAGATGAGTATATATTTTTTTCCCTGCCCTGGAGAGAATGTTTATATATTGCATTAGATTCTCAACAAGAACCATGATCCCAGGGATTAAGAGCCAGATTTAGAGTCTAATCATGAATTTTAAACTTTTCGAAAACAGGGATTCATAGCAGATGATTTTGCAACTTGTTCAGTTTTGAAGCAGTCCTGGGGTGGGTGTGTGTGTGTGTGTGTGTGTGTGTGTGTGTGTGTGTGTATCTGAACATTGCTGGACTCCATGTTGCCAACACACCCACCAGTCCACTCAGGGCACAGGTTAAGGAAGAGTACCTGAATACCAAATGTGAATTTCATGGGATGATAAAGATAGAAATAGGTATACAGAGAAAAGGAGGGGAGGGAAGGAAGAGAGGAGAGAGAGAAAGAGAAAGAGAGAGAGAGAGGAGAGAGAGAGAGAATCCAATGACACTATGAAGCAAAAATAAAACCTATACAAATAATCATCTTGCTTCCTGCCCACTGATGTTGAAGCCATAAACTTGAAGAAATGAAAGTTGTGCCATCACAGTCACCCTGAGGATCAGTTAAGTAACATTTTTTTCAGCATGAACTATTTTATCTTCTCATCCAAAATGTGGTGTGGAATGTTAAAACAGACATTTTAGAGACTTCCAGTCAAGATGGCAGCATAGACAAACACGGCTCACCTCTTCACACAACCACATCAAAATTACAATTAAAATATAGGACAACCTTCACTCAGAACCATCAGAAATCAAGTTGAATGGAAATCTGACAGCTATGGAATGAAAGAAACCACATCCATCCAGACTGGTAGGAGGGGTGCAGACATGGAATGAACTGGTCCCTTACCCATGTGTAGTGGATAAAAATTCAGGAGGAATATCTCAGGAGTGGAGTCCCAGCCCTATACCAGGAACACCAGGCCAGGGTACCAGTGCCAGGAAGATAAGTCCTCACAGTGTCTGGCCACAAAAATCAGTGGGAATTGAGTTGGTTGAAGAAACTTCTGGAGCCCCAACACTTCCTCTTAAAGATCCCACACAGGAACTCACCTACTCAGACTTACTCCCTCTGTGCTCCAGCACTGGGGTAGGAGCTTGAAAAGCACTAGTGGCATACGGGGAGAAACTGAAGTGTTTCATCAAGTGAGCAGAAAACATTGTCCCTTTTCTAAACCTTCTCTCCACAGATCTGGCAAGTTGGTGCCATATCTGAGGCTCCATCACCTGGCTAACACTGTTTGACCAATCTTGGAGATCCCCAGAGACTCTGCCCCACCCAACTTACAGGCACACCCCAAGCTGCTTTTCCATATGAATGGCTGGCCTTGGCTCATGCTTCACAACTTCCTAACTCCTCCCAAACAAGCAACAGCTGGCCTAGATCCACAGCTTGGCTACACCTGGGAATCTCCAAGCCCAGTGCAAGTAGCAGCTATCTCAGATTGCTTTATAGCTCAGGCAAGATGGCCCCAGGCAAAACACAGGTTGGGGCTGACCTTCACCTGCACCACCCAGGAAACCCCAAGGCCAGTACTCCCAAGTGGACAACTATAGACCACCCTGTCCCTGCACAGCTGATACTCCATGGAGGATGGAGGTTGGTGGTGAGTGGTCACAGCCAACCCTAGAAGCTGACTGGCCTGGGTATATCACTCCAATTGATCTGCCAACAGCAACCAAGGCTCAACAATAAGAGGAGGGTGTACTCAGCCCACATGAAGGGCACACCTCAAGTACCCAGCTTGGGTGACACAAGTGGCTGTGTCACTGGATCCTAAAGGACACCTACTACATTCAGCCACACTACCAAAACATGGAGTCAAAGCAGCTCTACCTAACACATAGAAACAATACATAGAAACAATCACAATACATAGAAACATGGATGCCAAAATGAGCAGACAAAGAAACATGGCCCAAATGAAAGAACAGATCAAAATTCCAGAAAAAGAGCTAAATGAAATGGGGATAAGCAATCTAGCAGATGCAGAGTGCAAAACCCTGGTCATAATGGTCACAAGGATTTTAGTTAGGACCTGAATAGCATACAAAAGGATCCAGTCAGAAATGAAGGATACAGCAATTGAAATAAAGAACAATTTACAGGGAAAAAACAGTAGACTGAAACTGAGAATCAAATCTATGATTTGGAACATAAGGAAGCATAAAACAACCAGTCAGAACAACAAGAAGAAAAAAGAATCTCCCCAAAATGAAGATAGTATAAGCAACCTCTGGGACAACTTCAATCAGTCCAACATCTATCAGATGTTGGAGATCGCCAACCTATCAGAGGCAGAGTTTGAAGCACTGGTAATCAGGATGCTCAGAGGAATGATTGAGTACAGAAGCAAAATAAAAGAAGAAGTGAAGGCTATACAAAGTAAAATAAAGAAAAATATACAGGGAACAATCAGTGAAGGGAAAGAAACCAGAACTCAAATAAATGGCTTAGAACAAAAGGCAGAAATAAATATTCAACAGGAACAGAATGAAAAAAGAAGAATTCAAAAAAATCAAGAGAGGCTGAGGAACCTTTGTGACAATTGTAAATGTACCAACATCCGAGTCATAGGGGTGCCTTAAGGAGAAGAGGAAGAGCAAGAAATTGAAAACTTATTTGAAAAAATAATGAAAGAAAACTTCCCCAATCTTGTGAGGGAAATAGAAATACAAGTCCAGGAAGCACAGAGGATCCCAAATGAGGTGGATACAAAGAAGCCTGCTCCAAGATACATCATATTAAAATGTCAAAGGTTAAAGATAAAGAAGGAATCTTAAAAGCAGCAAGAGAAAAGAAGTTAGTTACCTACAGAGGAGTTCCCAAAAGACTGTCAGATGATTTTTCAAAGGAAATTTTGCAGGCTAGAAGGGATTAGCAAGAAATATTCCAAGTCATGAAAAGCAAGGACCTACAGCCAAGATTGCTCTACCCAGCAAAGCTACCATTTAGAATTGTAGGGAACATCAAGAGCTTCCCAGACAAGAAAAAACTAA